CCACCCAGTTCACTTAAAAAAATATCCATTCATTGTTCCATCTTGATCATTCAACATACTGTCCATAGTATCCTTCAAGATTGTAATTCAACCCTAGAATTTACTTTTCAGTTCTCTCAGCTTGAGAAATTCAGAGGGAATTCTCCCCTTTTTATTCTTCAATTCAGCTCTCTGTACATTCCATTATAATACTTTGCTTTGTCTTCTCGGGCTGCCCTCTGAAATCTTCTTTTAGCTCTTCTACTTAAGCATGTTTTCCCTTTGCTTTGACTTCTCAACATTCTAGTGTAATTTTCAGAATATCTTCTGACCATCTACTTCAGTTTTTTTCTTTCTCCTCTTTGTAATGACTTTTTTTTCTCTTCATCCCACAACTCATCTGGTCTTCAATCACTGGTGTTCAATGTTTTAAACCCATTCTTTAGAGGATTTTGACATTTATATGGCACAGACTGAAGATCTTCTTTGGACCCTCATGGACTTGTTTTAATTTTCTTCGGCCTTTATTTGAACTTGCACAAGTAACTGATAGTCTGTTCCATATGCTGCCCTGGCCTAATTTTGATTGCTGATATTGAGCTTCTCCAATGACTCCTTCCACATACCATTTGGCTAGTAATATGCAAATAAAAATGTGTTTTCATAAGCAAAAGGACTGGTCAGTTTTGCCATCCTGGTAGACCTAAATTGAGCAAGTTCAGGGGAAAAAATTGAGAATCCACCTAACATCATGGAGGGAAAAGACACAGAGAGTACATGTGCTGCGCATCCTTTAGGTCAGTAGGCCAGTCATTCCTGTGTGAGATTTAGTAAGAAAGTGAGACCAGCTCAGCACCTTAAGTTGCACCAGCCCAGTACTTGGTGCCAAATATCCCATTCCCTCTGCTTCCCAAATTCTGTGGCATCTTTACATCTTTATTATTGTTCATTTCTTTGTACCAGTTAATCCTTTTCTTTTTTCAAAGGTCATTTAAAATATAAAGGTTTCAGAGAACCAGAGATTGACATAAGACAGAGCTGAACTAGATCTGCCACTTTAGAGGACCAGAACTGAGCATCTGACCTCGGCTTACTAGCAGAGTACGTGTGTTAGGGGTGCATAAACGGCAGAAAAGAACTCTGTAACATGTGCATGAGTGTGGGGCAGGGCTCAGAACCACAGACAGAGGGAGAGGAAAGCCAGCTCCAGAGCATGTCTTAGAAGAAGTCATTAGATTATGTTCTCATGCTTCCCACCAGAGTTATAACCTGTTACTCACCTAATCAACTCTGTAACTGTGGAAAACAAAATCTCCTACAAAGAAGTTTATAATACAGGCAACGCTTACATTAGACGATGAAAAGAAGTGTAAAATTATATGAACTAGATGACCGTAACAGTCTTTGCATTCTTAATAAAAAGGCCGGGGGTGGGGGTTGGGGAAAGACTGGTAAAATATACCACATCATTAAGAAGGACCATTCATGGCTGTTGGAGTTATTGAGTAGTTGGGATTTTTTAAAACAAAGTTTCACTATATAAAAAGAATATATGATTAGGTATTATTGTCATGACAAGAATTCAGAATAGGAGCTGCATAGTAAAGTGGACTAGGGGAGGAGACTGTATAATAATGAAAGAATTTTTTTTCCAAAGAAAAAAGCAAACTGGGAGGGATGGGGGCAGGGAGGAAAATATGCAGCAACGAATGGAAATCCAAGTTCTCTATAAACTTTGACTAAAATCTCAATTTAAAAAAAAATTCCAAAGGGAGCTCTGGTGGCCCAGTGGCAAGATGCTGCACTGCAATCCACAGATGGTCTGCTGGAAAAGGTGGGGGCAATCTCCTCCTGTACCAGTCAGATCTGATTTGACGGTACACGTAAAAATACAATAAAAATTTAAAAAAAAAAATCCAGAATTTCTAATCACCCTATAATGACACACACTATTTTTAACATTTTTTATTTTAAATGACCTTTTAAAAAGAAAACAATTACTTGGTACAGAGAAATGAACAATAATAAAAATGAAAAGATGCCAGAGGATTTGGGAAGCAGAGAGAATGGGATATCTGGCACCAAATACTGGGCATGGATTCCAGAAGACTAGGGTTTGAATTCTAGCTCTGCCCCCTAACACATTCAGTGACCCTGCACAAGTAATTTCTCTAGCCTCTACTTTTTCACTCCAAGGCTTATGCAAGGATGATGTACAAAGACTCTGTTCTCTTTAAAGAGTACAGACGATGATTTTTTTAATTTAAATTTATTATTAATTTTAGTAAAAATTTACAGACTTTGGATTTCCATTCATCCATTGTTGTACTTTTCTCCCCTCCCAAGCCTTCCCCATAGGACACTAACTACCCTCTTGGAAAAGTAAAAGACAAATTCTTTCATTGTTTTACAAGCCCTCCCCCAGGTCCACTCCACCATGCAGCCTTCACTCTAGACTCCTGTCATGACAAAAATACCTAATCACATATCCCTTTTAAACCGTTTTCTCCCTCATCTGTTTCAATGCAGTATACATTATTGAACCCATCTTTCTCAGTCTCTCCCCAACCCCGATGTCAGTCCTGTTTTACAACAGTAGCACCATGCAGTATTTGTCCTTTTGTGACTGAGATACTTCACTCAGCATAATGTCCTCCAGAATCACCCATTTTAAGTAATATTGCAGGAGTTCCTTGTTTTTCAATGCAGCGTAGTATTCCATTGTGTGAATATACCACAGCTTCTCTAGCCATTCGTTTGTTGCTGGGCACTTAGGTTGTTTCCAACTCCTTGATATTGTGAACAAAGTCGCAATAACCAGGGGTGTGCATATATCTGCTTGGATGTCAATTATGGTCTCTTTGGGGTATATTCCCAGTAGTGCAATTGCTGGGTCAAATGGTATCTCTATTTGCAACTTTTTGAGAAAGTGCCATACTGCCTTCCACAGGGGTTGCACCATTTTACACTCCCACCAACAGTGAATAAGGGTTCCAGTTTCTCCACAACCTCGCCAGCATTTGTTTCTTGCTGTTCTGTTAAATTTTGCTAGTCTGACTGGGGTGAGATGATATCTCATAGTTGTTTTAATTTGTATCTCTCTTAAGAGCTAGGAATTGTGAACATTTTTTTCAAGTGCTTATCAGTCATCTGAATGTCGTCTTCAGTGAAGTGTCTGTTCATATCCTTTGCCCATTTTTCTTACTGGATTACTTACCTTTATCTTGTTGTGGTGCTCAAGTATTTTATAAATTCTGGATATAATCTCTTATCTGATATGTTATTACCAAATACTTTTTCCCAGTCAGTGGCTTCCCTTTTTACCCTGTTGGGGAAGTTTTTGGATGTGTATAGGGATTTGAGTCTTAGAAGGTCCCATTCATCTACTTTATCTTCTCCTGGTTGTAAGCGGATGATGATTTTTGTCAACTTGCTCTAACTTCTACCACCCACCACTTCATGAGTCTATTCAATGTCTGCCATTAGATTTTCCAGAAAACTCTTACCTGCTACTCTAGTAGGAAATGCTACAAGGCGATCTAGCGGAGTTATCCACTTACTCGGCACCACAGCCACAGGCACGGAGTAATACTTCCAAATAAGTGAGATCATCAGTGCAGCCTGAAAAAGATACTGCTGGTGAGTGTGAACATTCTGAAGTCAGGAAACAGAAAACTACAGAAAGATAGGGAAATGCTAAAATGAATTAAAGAAACTCCTAATTAAGGGCTTCAAGACCTATCAATTCAACCTGCCTGCCAATAGCTTATATAGCTACTAATTTCCAATGCTGTAACACTGAAAACGGCATCTAATTGAAGACTGGTTAAATTGAAGTTATACAAGTGTTCAGGTCTTTTGTTCATAGGGTCGCTATGAGTTGTCTACAGCTTGACAGCACTTAACAACAACAACAACAACAACAACATAGAAAGAGCTCTGTTGGCCTAGTGGGTAGAAGTTATGCTACCAAGCCAAAGGTGGGTGATTTTAATCTTTGGTCCACAGGCCTGGTTTAATTGTTTTTGGTCAAACATTCTTCTCAGTGGTATAGCACTGGTCTGTCCATTTGCTGCACAAACTCGTGGTTGCTGTGACGCTAAACATTGTGACAATGATGTGTCAAATACAATAAAGGTTACCCATGGCGGACAGTGTTTGGTGGAGCTTCCCAATTAAAACAAGCTTGGAAGCAGGAGTGGCATCCACTTCCAAAAGAGCTTGCCTCCAGAAACTCTATGAACGTGGAATAACAATGAAAGTTATACAAGTATTCAAGTCTTTTGTTCACAGGGTCACTATGAGTCGTCTACAGCTTGACGGCACTTAACAACAATACATACACACTATTTAAGTATCTGACAAGAAAGGTTTCATATAACATAAGGAGTACTTTCTCATTGAACAGTAGGAAAACTCTATTGCATCTACCATCTTTGGAAATAGTTAAGTCTCATATCCACATGTGTGTTAATTGGTGTGTCGCTATGCGTCGCAAGCGACTAAACAGCACATAACAAAAACAATCTAAATTCATAAGATGAAGAGAAACAATGGGAGGTTTTTCCCTTCCTTCCCTAGCAACAATTTACTCCATTGTCTTCTGTTCCTTCAGGCCTTTAAATGTATGTCCCAAATCAGGAGACCAAAAAGAGAACATCTGATTTAATTCCTCAATCTTGGTAAACTATATCACTCACCAAGCTGATGTTATCTCAAATCTAGTTTGTCTTTTTTCTTTTTTTTTTTTTTTTTATTTTGTGTGCGTGTACCATCAAATCAGATCTGACTGGTTCAGGAGATTGTTCCTCCTTCTCCAGCAGAGCATCTCGTGGACTTGAAGCATGGACCTCAGGGATTGCAGGGCACCTTCTTACCACTAGGCTGCCAGACTTCACCTCAAATCTAGTTTCTTAAATATTCCGAAACAACCTTGGCTTTTGAAGAGGCTGCTTGTGTTTTTTTCTTCACAGTGAACACGAGATCACATTGGTACCAAAACTCATGGGTCACTTGACACAACACCCAGGTAGCTACCAAAATGCATCCTAGAAAGCCACAGAAGTGAACTAAACATTAAATAAAAAGCAAACCTCATTTGAGAAAGCTGTTAAGTAATTTTTAAGGAAATCACAAATTGCCTTCTAGGAGGGTAGGCAGTCATGAATATATGCTTGCTGTTTAAGCATACCAGATAGCAAGTAACAGCCAAAAGGATTCGTCATCTTAGAAAAAGCCAATGTTGCAATATTCTCTCACTTCATGCCTTAAACAGTACAGAAAACCATATGTGAGATCTCCTGAGAAGTCATTTCAGAGTTCCTTTGCTAAAAACCCCAAACTAACAGCTATCATTAAAAGGATCTCCGTCTCCATTTTCTATATTTGCCATGTTCAGCATTGCAAGCGGGAAGGCCCACATGACTACAGCTCAAACAGAAGAAGCCTGAATGCCAGCTGTCAATTCTGTGGGACAGAACATTTCAATTTAAAGATCCCAGGTGACACAACAGCTCACTTACCTGCAACACATAGAAAGCAACACTTATCACCCATTTTATTTTGGCTAATTGAGCTGTCCGTGCTTTCACTGAAAGGAAAACCAGAAAGGAATCATTACTTTCGTCAGAAAAAAAGGAAAAAAATATTTAAAGACACAGAATACCATTTTCTGTTAATAATATATTTACTATAAAGATAACACCTTCTCAATACATTTAAGAAAAATACTTTTTAAAAGTCACCCACAGAAAGGCAATATACAAAATACTGATCATTCTAATTAATCTTTTACAATTAATGTTCTATAAATGCCTACGATCAAATGAAATTGTAGTAACAGTGTAATAAAGCAAAATGTATAAACATGACTGAATGAAAAATCAATATGGTTTACAGATAAGCTTTCCCTCAGATAAAAATAAAATCTGAAGAATACATTAAGTTACCCACAATCCCCACTGCACCATTATTTAAGAAAACAGCATCACACTCAGATGATAAGCTCTGAATAGCTTTCATGTTGAAAACTACGTTATTCATCTAAATCAGAGATTGCTTGCACAAGGCACTAGTCCCTTACCACTACTGAATCTTTTCTAGCCTAGCATCTCAGTCCACAGAGTACACCACCCTGCCAGGAGGAGGCACCTCTCTACGTGACCAGATGTGGTGTAGTTCTCTCCTGCAACCTACCACTAGGGTGTCTTAGCACACAGATGCTCCCCTAAATGATCTATGAAAGGAAAGATCTGTTTAAAAGGAATATATGATTATGCATTATATGTCTGACAGCAGTCCAGAATAAGAGGTACATTGCAAAGAGTACTAGAGGTAGTGGAGGAAGGGAGGCAACTGTCCAATAGTGAATGAATAATTTTTTCTTAAAGTGGATGGGGGGAGGGGAAAAGGAGGGAGATGAGGTAAAATGTGCAACAACGAATGAATGAATGAAAATCTAACTTTTCTGTAAACTTTTGATAAAAATCACAATTAAAATAAAAAATTTCTTAAAAAAATAAAATTATCTATAATCTCTGCCACGGGAGATCGCTAGTACAACAAAAAATATAAATATGAACAAACAGATTCCCATCCGCAAGTTTATGCTTGGATAAATGGTTCCTGTAACATTACTAGGAGAAGACAACAAAAGTCTTTCAGAATCCACTAGATTTCCCAGGAGGAGCTTTTCTAAGAAAAGTGCTGAATTTGAAAGAAGTTGACTTTGAAGAAAATGTAAGTAGATCCGAGATGTTTCTTTACTTAAAAAGCAAAGGTTCACAATCAAATATGAAGAAGTTTTTTTCTAAACAAAGTAAATGTTTCTATTACTATTTAGACTACCCAAAAGCATCTATTCTAGGAACTTTAAGTAGACATCTCTACTAGGCAACTCTTAGGAAACAACATGGCAAGGACTACTGGTACCGTGAGTTTTGAGTTTATCAGTCATTTTGTTGATCTTTCTTTCCAGTCTGGCGTATCTGGCAAATTCGTCCATCATGTTGACGGTGGAGAGCTCTTGCTTCATATCCTGGATTTCTGCTCTCATCTGTGACTCCTGCTCTGCGTCCTTCTGCAGTACCCTGGACATCTAGCAGAGGAGACAGCTGAGATTAGTGCCTTTCCAGGTGACCTTCACCCCCTTTCCACCCTCTCCACAGGTTGTGAGCTGCCCCTTTCAGGCGGACAAGTCATCCCTCACCCAGCGGTCTCTGCTGCCTTTCCTGCTCCCTGCACCATCCACAAAACCAAACACCACCTCTGTACTGAATCACTATTTATATTTCTTTTTGTAGCTATGTCCATGGATTCCCATAATACACATGTATTCCTACAATACATATGTATATATCTATCTCCCAGCATAAACAGATAAATAAGACTTAGAAATGACAGCACAGTCCATCCCTAGAATGGTCATTCAAGTGATAGGCTCTTCAGTTCCTGAAAAACTGAGCCCTAAATAAAATAGGGGAAACTAGGCAAAATGTTTGGATACAGGTAAAAGGCACCAGTGAAGTGGCAGTGGCTCAAGGTAGGATAGTCCAATGTGGATGAAGGAGGAGTGCAGCAGCCCAGCACAGGGACAAGAGCCCTCCATAGAGAAGAGGCCTAGGCACAGAGGGGGCACCTAGCAAGGGCAAGTTGAGTCAAGCAAAGTGAAATAAGGGTTCCCAGGCAGAACAAGTGGGTATGGGAATGAGAGTTTAAACTGGATAGGGTGTCCATGGTAAGAACTCTGTCAATATAGGTATTAAAGTCCACGGGGGACAAGATGGGCATTAACATTAGACAATGTGTGAAGGTAGAGATAGGAAATAGTATTGACACTGTCAGAGATATCAAGAAAGAACCAGAAAAAAAATCTCGTGAGTGGAATTAACTTGAAGTATATCAGGGAACTCCTGGCTTTCAAGAGATAAAAGAAATTAAATATGCAAGATGTCTGGTAGGCAGTGAGGTAGGTAGATATAGACATAAATGTTTGTAAACAGGTGCCTCCCATCACCCAATCCCTGGGAGGCAAGGAGGGCCTTGGTGTGCTGGTCACCCACCCATGGCGTATCCTGAAGGCCCCTTTCTTATCAGCACAATCTCTGCTAGTATAATCTCCTGGCTTTACAGGGGCCACCAGGAGCCCAGAATGGCATGAAAACTACCACCAGGTGGCGACTAACCAACCACATAAGTGACAGGGAGGGTGCACTGGTCATGGAGTTTCTTTTAGTTTCTCATCTGTGGGATTAAGGGATGGCGTAATGCCTAGCATGTTGCACTAACCATAAGGTCAATGGTTGGGATCCACCAGCTACTCCTTGGAAGAAAGACAGGCAGTTTCTTCCCTTTAAGATTTACAGCCTCAGACACCTGACAGTGGGCCACTATGAATAAGAAATGCTTAACAGCCCTAGGTGAGAACAGGCACAGAGGGTAAAAGGCAAACAAAAGAGCTCAAGAGGCTTCTCCAGTGACTGGCCCCATTAAACAGTGGGCATCTAATTCTGACAGGTAAGATGAGGAGGAACACAGCCTTCATCGGTGTACCATCCCCACAGCGAACACCAGACAGAGGCCATTCTGCAAAATCAACAGCTTGTCACATTCAAAAATGACAAAGTTAAAAGTCAGTGAAAGACTTGGGAATTTTCCAGACTAGAGAGGATGAAAGAAACATGATACTAAATGAAATGTGTGATTCGGAATAGAGCCTTCTGTATTTATAAAGGACATTAGTGAAACAAGGAAAAGTTATCCAGGATCTGAGGATTAGGTGGCACTAATGTAGGAAATATTTGCCGGTGTGGGGTTACTCCAGAAAATAAACCCTAAAGACCAGATTACCAATCAGGTGTCAACACATGAACAACTCTTCTATATCAGGAAGGGCCCAAAACCCATAGGTGAAGCTTCATAGGTCAAAAACTACTCATGTCAGCGGGGCCTCAGCTAGAACACGAGGCTATCCATTCAGGGATTGCTCATCGATGTCCCCTTTACCCATATGGCTCCCTCTCCTTCCAACATACAGGATCCTCACACGAGTGCCAGCGTAACCTGCACCCAAAGCTAAATAAATACACAACAGCCTTTGTCCACAAAACAGGGTAACCAGAAGCAGCAGTTGTTGGCCTTTCTGCTGTTCTATGACACCCAGGACCCTCGCTCCTACCCACAGAGATGAGTCTTGTTGCTCAGGCAGTCAAGATCTCTCATCTAAAACATCCTGTGTCCAGAGAATTTCAACAAAGTCTGCACAAACACTGAATGTCCTTAGCCAGACAGCCTATCTCCACCCCAATGGTCTACTGAAATTTTTCCTCCTGAAATATGTGTAATTTTGCTTGGGAAATAAGGTTTCTCTGGGATTTCCTGAAGAGCCTCAGGGTATAGAGCCTCCCATTTCAGGACTGACCAAAAACATGTAAGAAATAATGGCAGGAAAGTTACTGACTACGATGGACAGTGTCCCACCAAAATTCAGACCCACTTGGAACCTCAGAATGTGAACGTCATAGGAAAACAGGGGATTTGCAGGTAGAATTAGTTAAATTAGGTTTAAGTCATTCTGAACTGCTGTTTTGTGCCTCAGAGTCAAAACCCACTCAGCTGACCCTCCAGTGTGGGTTGTCAAGAGGCAGTAAATCTCACAGGAGGAAACTGCCCATCCTGGCCCCACAGATTTGAACTACGTGCCTTTGGGAATGAGTACAGCGTCTTACCACTAGGCCACCAGGGCTCCCTATTCTGGATTAGGACGGGTCTTTATTATAATAAATCCCTCTGCAGTACAAATGGTTAAAGCACTCAATTGCTAACCAAAAAGTTGGAGGTCTGAGTCTACTAAGGGGCCCTTGTGAAAAAAAGTGCTGGACAATCTATTTCCAGAAAATCAGTCCTTGAAAACCTTCGGGAGCACTATTCTACTCTGACACACATGGATCTCCACAAGCCGGAAAAGCAAATGGTTTGATCCAATACAAGTGGTCTCCTTATCAAATAAGAAAGCCTAGAGACGGACACAGAAAGAAAATGGTCATGTGAAGAGGGAAAAAGAGTGGGTGATGCACCTAACCCAGCTGTGAGTCCCACAAGAAGCTGACAGAGGAGGAGTCAAAGATGACGGCAGAGGCGGAGACAGCGTGGCGAGCGGCAGGAGCACAGACCACATGGAGGAGGGCCACCACAGCCTTCTACAGACCTCTGTTTATTGATAACTAAACAGTTAAACACCTGATATCTGGTCTTCAATGCAGATCGAGGCTCAATATCAGGAGATCAAGGATTCCCAGGGAGGAATGGTGAGTCCCACGGCCCCCAGCCCCCTGCTGCTGAGCCTGCACCACCACCGCAGCTCCATAAGGTTCCCACCACCGGAACCCACGGATTCCCTCACCTGAGATGGACGGTGGGCACCGGCCCGCCCTCTGAGGTTGGTGCAGCGGAGCCACCATACCACAGCAAAGTGGACTTGTTCTGGGGAGAATTCTTGAAGCCAAGATGGTGGGCGGGAGACGCAGCTGCAGGTTGGGGTTTCCCTGGACAGGCCAGAGAGGAAGCTCACCAATACAATGGATTGATGAGAGTCACTGTGAGCTGTCTACAACTCGATGACATTTAACAGTGGCAGCATGTCCCAGACGGCAGATAGCCTCAATGCACCGCATCTGTTGACTCCATTTGCCAAGAACTGTTTAGACCTGGGG